GAGTGGTTTGGGGGTGTGGCCAGCCAGAAGTCGCTACTGGTTCGGTGACCCATGCCAAATTATCGCTACCAGTTCTCCCGATCTGGTGCGAACCGGCTGAATACCACTACTGCTGTTATACCTTTCTATGGTTATAAAAATAGATCAATTAAATCTTTTATAAAGATTATATATGTTGTAATTCCAACATGGTCATATCTAGTGGTAGGATCAATCCAGGTGAAAGGAATGAATGGAAAATGGAGGTTTTATATGGCCCTTCATATGGCGTTACTCAATAATGCATGTTTTTGATAACTGTTGCTGCCCAAGATACTGCCTTTCTAAGACTTTAGCTACAACCCCGATAGTTCTTGACTATAGGCTGTGCTGGTTGGGCCAATGGGAATTATAGTGAAAGGAATTAGATCCTTACATGTTTACAATAGTTATTTTTAATATGTCTAGGATATTTTTTCAATCTATATAGCTTGGTGTATTTAGATAATTGGGACTTGCTTTCAAAAACAATATTTAGGATTTCCTCACCAAATGGAATTGGTTCCCCAGTTCCTGTTCCTCCTGATTCTTCTGACCTAATTTCAGATATTATAAACTATATTAAATTATTGTAAATAAGCCTCAATCTTTATTTACTTCCATTTACCAATGGCTGGTTCTCCAATGGTTCTCCACTACTGATTTCTAATCCAAGCTATATGCAGTGGATGCTCTGAAATATCAACACCAGAATCCAACTGTAATTAAACATTTCTAGAATGACAATGCTTAGTTCTACAGAAATTAAGGGGGCAGCTGTAACTTATTTGCATACTTAGGACTTCATAAAACACATTCTGAGCACATAGCCATAAATGGACTGTCACGAGAAACAATCCAATGTATGTCTTCCTTGCAATGTCCTCATGCACAGAGGATGTCAGGCTAACAGACAGGATGCAACATTTTTTAATCTACATTTGAAATTAAAATGTTTGAAATGAATCTACAATACCATGGAATCTTTTTCCATTAAAATGATACCAGTGAAAAAGTAAAAACAGAATCAAAAAATAGCAAACAGATTTAAGACATTTTTACTGTAAAAAGAGACATGCGCAAATACCACCCACCCACCACCACCCGGGCTACAACTTTGAAACCTTCTCCCCATTGTTAGCATACAAAGTTGGTTCCAGTCAGGGAGGAAGTTTACTCTTATAAAAGTAGCAAAAATTATTGCAATTATGTTATCCTAGTTTATTCTGGGTAATGGAACAGAACCTTTTGCACATTCACTCAGGATTCCTGGGCATGTGGACATCTTTCCACACAAATGCACAACAATTATTTGGATAATTAGTTATGCTGAGATGACGATAAATTGGCCACAAGAATTCCATGTTGTTCCAATATAAGATCCTTACAATGGACAGCAGGAGAGGAATGCAAGCCATGGTTTTTGTTTCAGCTTGCCATGAGTATCCACTGAGATCCCCCATTTTCCTTCTCCCTATCTCTTGACCAGTGCTGCATGGTTGCATAGTTCCCACAGCCATAGCATTTGATGTCTAACTTCCGCACTTTTTCAGTGAGCTCTTTGGTGATTAAGCTGGAAGAAAGAGAGGATTTCAAGAAACTGTAGTTATGACAGCTACAAATTCAGTAGGTCAAGAGAAGCAGGCAGATGGGCATTATGCACTGAGACTGTTTGCAGGGAATGGGCTAATACTTGCATCTGCAAGCTTCATGATCAAAAAATCTGCACAACTCAACTTGAAATTATGATATGCTGGGGAAGGAGAGGGATAGAGCTATATCATTGTCATTAGAATATTTCTCTGGGAAAGGGTAATATCACCTCTAAAGAAGTGGTTTACATGAGGAGTAAAAGCTAATATTGTCAGGGAGATTTAGAAATCCCTTCACCATGGTCCCAGTTCTAACTCTGTCTTCTTCCAGGAAGTGGAAACATACACACATATATACAAATAAGGCCAAACCATGGATTAATGCTTCTTTAAATGTGATCGTCAAAGTTGCTAAAAACAGCAAAAAAGACCAATAAATTACAGAGGTTTAAGCTTTTAGGTAGCTGGGTCATAGGTTTGTTTTGCAAGGTGAGAAGAAAATCAGTCTTTCAAATGTTTCTGTTAATGGAAGGACTTAGAACCATCCTCTGTTCTTAATGTCCAAAAGAACCGATTCATAGCACTGTCTAACAGTATGTTCCAGTTGAATTAGTTGGCCACATCCAACTGATAACCGTGTTCTGGGGAGGAAATGAGAGAATGAAGGAATGAGAAAAAAAAATGCAATCTGCTAAGCCTACCCCAGTCCCGTTATGACTTTCTCCAGCAGCTTTTCAAAATGTACAAGATTCTTTTCTTCTAAGTGTTGAACTAGCTTCCATTGTGAGTATTGATTTAAAGTACTCTTTATAGCCTTTAAAGCTCTAAGCAGCATGTTACACCTGGAGGAATGTCACTTTCAATATGAAGCTATCCATATCTTTCAAGAAACCTTGTTCTATAGATCTTGCCAACTTCTGCAATGCGTTAAGATATAGGTAAAGGATTTACAGTGCAGTACTCAGGGTTTTGCACTCCCTCCTAAAGAAGGACCCACATATAAACTGTCAGCCGCCTGCCAAGCAGCAGTCACCATTTTACTTTCAGCAAGCTTCCAAACTTGCTGGGGAGATAAATTTCAATCTAGGCTGTCTTACTATTTTGTATAATGTATTGGTCTTTATCGGTGGCTATTTGTTACCACAATGTATGTGTTTGGGGAGAGGCTAACCTTTATGATGACTTTTGTTAAGATTCTTTGGAATTTATTATCACACTAGCTGGATACCTGTGCTTCGCTACGAAACTATGTGATTGGGCTTAGTTTTTGGGGAGGAAAATAAGGGGGGGGGGAATCTGCCTCTGCTTACCAGCATCCATCGGTATTCATCTGGCTAGTGTCCTGTCAGTGTGTGAGAGAGTTGAGGGCTGTTTGAAAACTGAAACAGTATTTGCTGTGTGAGCAAGAATGAGACAGCAAGGAGCCTGGGCGTGGCTTAGCTCAACTGTTCTGTACGAAAGCTGGTTGCTGCTGTGAACTAAAACTGAAACTTCTCTCCTTGTGTTTTGCATTTGGAACATATTTCTTTTCAGGTGGGGAGGGGGAGTAGAACACCTTCGCAACAGAGTGTGTTAATAAAAATATCTGAAATAGTAATGCTCTAATGGTTATTTCGAAAAATCCTTTCCTAGAAGCCAAGAGGAACATAAGTGGCAAATTTCAAGTTTGTAGGCTTTACGGTTCTGGAGTTTTTGTGATGATGCGTGAGTGGTATTTCGCTTTTATATATATGTAGATAAATGAATATTGAAACTTGGAATAAAGAAATCATGCTTAACACACTTTTATTAGAAACTGCATCAAGTAGATCCAGTATGCTTTGGAATTGGAATTTCTCAGTTAAAGCAATTTAAAGGTATTTGTAAAGAAAGCAATAGTGACAAGATATATTAGACAAACTATTATATGGGTCTCATAGTACCTTTCCTTTTTAAATTCTGTTGACATCCATTTAGCATTCCATCTCTAGCTTAGAAAGATGTAGAAATGTACATCTGGGCATATAAAAATGCAGATCTCACTAATGAGCCATTATTTCTACATACTCCACATCCCCAGTTTTTTAGAATTGTTAATGTAATGTTAGAATTAGTTATATAGAAAACTATTTTTTCTCTCTCAGAATGCATCAGTTTGGATCTCCTAGATTAGACTGCCATTTTTTCAGAAGTGATCCTTCTAGAACAGGAATTCATAGTATTTTAGATGTGATACTACTGATCCTTAAATAAATGAACGCATACAACATATTTAATAATATTAAAAAAGAACTATCAATTAATTTTAAAGGTCTTCTCATCTAGAAAATGAATTAAACTTCTAGTTCTTTCATTTGATACATCCCCACTTCCCTTCAAAAGGTCACTTTTTCCATCAACGGAAAACCAATCTTTTTATATCAGGTGAATGACCAACTTCACAAATACTACTTACCTTAGCATATTCATTCATGTGATCAGTATAGAAGTCACTGTCATATAAGACATAGGGTATAGTCTCTGCTACATTCTAGTGATTATTAGAACAAAATTATGAACTCATGAGAGATTTAAAATTATCCCAGAATCTGGAAGTTACTGTTGAATAATTCTGTCCTGGACAAGATAGTTATTTTCCTAGAACTTCATCTCAGTAAGGAACAAGATTCAGCCCTAAAGATATGCCATTAAATTAAGCTAGATAATTATATACAGGTGAAACTCAAAAAATTAGAATATCGTGCAAAAGTTCATTTATTTCAGTAATGCAATTTAAAAGGTGAAACTAATATATGAGATAGACTCATTACATGCAAAGCAAGATAGTTCAAGCCGTGATTTGTCATAATTGTGATGATTATCGCTTACATCTCATGAAAACCCCAAATCCACAATCTCAGAAAATTAGAATATTACATGCAATCAATAAAACAAGGATTGTACATAGAACAATATCGGACCTCTGAAAAGTATAAGCATGCATATGTACTCAGTACTTGGTTTGGGCCCCTTTTGCAGCAATTACTGCCTCAATGCGGCGTGGCATGGAAGCTATCAGCCCGTGGCTTTGCTGAGGTGTTATGGAAGACCAGGATGCTTCAATAGCGGCCTTCAGCTCTTCTGCATTGTTCGGTCTCATGTCTCTCATCTTTCTCTTGGCAATGCCCCATAGATTCTCTATGGGGTTCAGGTCAGGCGAGTTTGCTGGCCAATCAAGCACAGTAATCCCACGGTCATTGAACCAGGTTTTGGCGCTTTTGGCAGTGTGGGCAGGTGCCAAGTCCTGCTGGAAAATGAAGTCAGCATCCCCATAAAGCTCGTCTGCAGAAGGAAGCATGAAGTGCTCCAAAATCTCCTGGTAGACGGCTGCGTTGACCCTGGACTTAATGAAGCACAGTGGACCAACACCAGCAGATGACATGGCTCCCCTAATCAACACAGAGTGTGGAAACTTCACACTGGACTTCAAGCATCTTGCAGTGTGCGCCTCTCCATTCTTCCTCCAGACTCTGGGTCCTTGGTTTCCAAATGAGATGCAAAAGTTGCTCTCATCAGAAAAGAGGACTTTGGACCACTGAGCAACAGACCAGGTCTGTTTTTCTTTAGCCCAGGTAAGACGCTTCTGACATTGTTTGTTGTTCAGGAGCGGCTTGACAAGAGGAATACAACATTTGAAGCCCATGTCCAGGATCCGTCTGTGTGTGGTAGCTCTTGATGCACTGACTCCAGCCTCAGTCCACTCCTTGTGAAAGTCCCCAACACTTTTGAATGGCCTTTTCCTGACAATCCTCTCCAGGCTGCAGTCATCCCTGCTGCTTGTGCACCTTTTTCTTCCACACTTTTCCCTTTCACATAACTTTCTATTAATGTGCTTTGATACAGCACTTTGGGAACATCCAACTTCTTTTGCAATTACCTTTTGAGGCTTTCCCTCCTTATGGAGGGTGTCAGTGATGGTTTTCTGCACAACTGTCAGGTCAGCAGTCTTTCCCATGATTGTGATTCCTACTGAACCAGACTTACATTTAAAGGCTTGGGAACCCTTTGCAGGTGTTATGGCTTAATTAGCTGATTAGAGTGGGACACTTTGAGCCTAGAATATTGCACCTTTTCACAATATTCTAATTTTCTGAGATTGTGGATTTGAGGTTTTCATGAGCTGTAAGCTATAATCATCTCAATTATGACACATCACCGCTTGAACTATCTTGCTTTGCATGTAATGAGTCTATCTCATATATTAGTTTCACCTCTTAAGTTGCATTACTGAAATAAATGAACTTTTGCACGATATTCTAATTTTTTGAGTTTCACCTGTATGTTATAGCCAAACATCTGATGAAAATATGGGAGGGGGAGATTCATTCAAGAATTATATAAGTGTACTTGATTTCTGCCCAGAATCCTGAAAGTTGATTTCAGACATGATTAAGAAAATAATTACATTTTTAGGATGAAATTAATTACCTTGAGTTACCCAAGATATGCATCAGCCTTAATTATATCAGGAAATCATGCCAGGTACTTTAGAAAACAGCTCTAGCAAAAAATCAGCCTTCCCAAATATAACTCAAGGCACCACGAAACCCGAAAAAGTGACATATGCATTGTGTACACATATCCCTTTTACCTTTGGGGTTGCTAATATCGCAACAATAACATTTAAGAGCTTTTTTTTTATTTAAAAAGGTACTGTCTGACAATTGCTAACGTGGGTTGTCATGTAAAGGCTCATGGTCTGAAACATTCTGTGCTGTTTTGATTTCATTCTCTGCTTTTATGTTTTGGAAAGCTTCCCTATTTTGCTATGTTTTAATTATGGCTTGTTTTATTGCATTTGATCTGATGAAGTCTAATAAATAATTTAAAAAGAAACATATTCTCCCTAATTTCTTTACTTTCTTCAAGCTACACTGATACTCTTTTTCTCTTAGTGATTTAATATTAAAAAGTTATATAGGTAGTCCTCACCTTATGACTGGTTGCTTAGCTACTGTTCAAAGTTACAATCCATCAAAAAAAAAAATTACAACCTGGATTCATAGTTTGGATAGTTGGGCTCTCTCCTCTATCATGTGACCAAACTTTGGGCAACCAGCATCATAGCCACATTTATGGCCATCTGCATCACCCTGCAGTCACATGACAGCATATTGCAACTCTTTTGCTAAAAACCAGCAGTTATTTCTGGGTTGTTGTTGTTTTGGCAAAACTGGACCCATAGTGAACTATTGGTTCATTTTAACATCCAGGGTGTTTGCTTAATACGCATATTCACTTAACGCCCAAGACGTTTGCTTATTGCCTACAGCATTTGCTTAATGACTGTGAAGTAGGCTCCATTACAGTCATATGTTGAGGCTACTGGTAGTGCTCCGAAGCAGCTGCACAGAAAAAAAATCTAATTGTTTGCTAATTTAGGCCAATACACCATCATAAATTTAAAAAGGAATCAGTTTATTTGATAAGCATAACAAACTGATTACTTCTCTTGAAACAGCCTTGGGAAATTTATATTAATTTAGCAAATAAATAAATATGTAATATGTACTCATAGGAGTATGTAATATTAATATTTAATTATAGCCTTTTAAATGTTTGTTAAAATGCTACTTGACCTCTAAGTGATAGGATTAACAAAGACAGATTTTGCATTGACTGCTGCATGGCAAGGTTATGAAAAACATTGTTTGTGACTCTAAATTGATGACAAGTTTAACTTTGCCTACTTTTCTCCTACAGCTTTGACTAGTAAATCATTGTTAAACCAGACATGCATTTTATTAGGTACTATGTCACACTTCCTCCCCATATATTTTTGCTCGGTTTGAATCAAAGCAACTCTTTTGTACCAAGGGACATCATTTGGATGTAGCCTGCCATGTTATGAAGTCATTACTTTATTTTTGTTCTTTTTTTAAAAAAAAAAAAAGCTTACCTGTATATTTCTTGGGAAATACAGTCATAAAGTTCTTCAGCAGTAAATTTTGTACTATTATTTACCTATGAATTAAAAAGACATCAACTCACTAATGTAGGAAAATGCATTAATTATCAAATACTAATGTTATATACTTGAAATTGTTGTTGTAATAAAAGCAAATAAAAGCTTCAGATTTGTTAAAAAATTAATTCTTATGAATTGGCCCACAGATCTTATATTAACACTATAGAAAGCAACATCTGCAGCAAAAGAATTTGATGGAAGACAATTTTAGCGAACACTGGGAGTTTGAGAAAACTTCCCCTTTCTGATGATCTTAATGCATGTGCAGATGTTGTTTGCAGTGGGGAAAGAATGGCTTAATCAAGTGTGGGAGGATCTTATATAAGCTTTTCTCAGGTGTGAAGGATCAGGACCATATGTTAAGTTGCAGCACAGATTTATTCAAGCCTATACACAAGAATCTAGTCTAGTAACAGTCAGAACTAAATTGGCGCTAGATAAGAGTCAACGGAATTCAAGAGGGGCACGACTTGGATCGTTTGTGAGGCTAAATTGATGACAAGTTTAACTTTGCCTACTTTTCTCCTACAGCTTTGACTAGTAAATCATTGTTAAACCAGACATGCATTTTATTAGGTACTATGTCATACTTCCTCCCCATATTTTTTTGCTTGGTTTGAACCAAAGCAACTCTTTTGTACCAAGGGACATCATTTGGATGTAGCCTGCCATGTTATGAAGTCATAAGAGGGAATTTAATCATTCAGAGCAAAATGGGTGCCCTAAGTTTTGGGTATTTAAAGTACTTATTTTTCTGCTTAACCCTGCCCAAATGGTTAATTATTTTGTCTTGTCAAATTCGAAGGTACTTGTACAGCCAATGAGTCACCAACACTGACCCATTTATGACTTGACAACCTAATGGCACTTTCATTAGACTACAATTCAACAGGCACAATACATCTCTTTGTATTATGAATTCAACAAATTCAGAATACATAAAAAGAGTGAAGTGCATTTAAATAATTGTGCAGGCCTTTTCAAAGTACATTAATTTTTTAAAAATGTGTACCAGACTGCTTTGAAATCTTTATCCAAAATGTCTGTCTTTTCTATTATACACAATTTAACAACAAACATACCAAATACTTGAAAGTTAAATAACTCACCTCATTATTAGTTAGGAATCTATACAAGGCCCAAACATCTTGAAAGCTACTATTTGGCACTAAGACTCTGGAAAAAAATAAACAAAACATAGTCACCGAACCGGTAGTAACACCGGTTAAATCTTACCCCTGCCCATAACCAACAAAGGGAAAATAAGAAAAATAATATATACTAAGCCTAACTAAAATGGCTACACATATGTCAATTTCGGGCTAGACATCTTCCACAGTTGGTCAAGAGTCAGACTGAAGGACCTGTGAAGTACTTTATACAGATAGTCCTTGTTGAATGACTATTCATTCAGTGTCTATTCAAAGTTATGAGAGCGTTGAATGAGGGGGGACAAGACCATTCCTCATAATGCCAGCTGTTGTAATCATGTAATCATGATTTGGGTGCTTGGCAACCAGCTTGCAATTATGAGAGTAGCAGCATTCTGCAGTCACATGATCACCATTGGCTACCTTCACTGCTGGCTTCTGACAAGCAAAGTTGATGGGGGCCAGATTCATTTAACCGCTGTGTTTCTAGCTTAAGAACAGCAGTGATTCACTTAAGAACTTTGGCAAGAAAAGTTGTAAAATGAGGCAAAACTCACTTAACAAGTATCTTGCTTAGCAACAGAAATCTTGGGCTCAGTTGTAATGGTAGGTCTACCTATAAACGATTTTCAATATTTGGCCAGATTAGACAGTATGCATGTATGTAACATAAGTGATGCCTGGTAGGCTGGGCTTGCAGGAATTGGAAGCTGTTTGAATTTAAGTTGTGCACGTGAAATAAGGAAGCTAAATGCCAAGTTAACTAGACAGGGTAAGTGGGGGGCAAGTGGGGAAAGATGAATTCAAACCACCTCCTTCTGCAAAAGGTAGAGCAATGATCCCCCAAAATTGTTACAAATAAGAGAGGGATGTGGATCAGGATGCTAAAGTAAGGCATGTTGGATTGCAAAAATGGCTGGACTGGGAGATGAAGCCCAAGTAACCAGACCGGCATTATGGAAACTCCTCAGAAGTGTCTAAGAGTTGTAAACAATTGTGGAAAGTAATAGACAATTCCAAGATGTCTCCTCCCAAAATTAGGACAAGGGAAGGAGAAAGCTACACATATATTAGATCAGGGATTCCCAACCCTCAGGCCACTACCAGGCCATGGCTTATTCAGAACTGGGTCACGTGAACAATGCAGCTTAACTTGCTCAAGTAGTAGGCCTTGTGCAAATTGACAAGTTGACTCACGTGGCCCTCCCCGCACAGCCAGGCCACCAAGCTGTAAAGGTTGGGGACCACTGTACCAGATATCTGAGCCTGAACTACCAAGATAGCTGAGAAGGATATCATGAACATTTTAGAAGAGACTGAGACCTGTCTCACCTGACTGATTTCAGGCCACATGTGCAGCTTGGCAAGATTTACAGGAACATCACTCATTGTCTATGTCTGATCAGCTTTCTGATGGGGATAATTGTTATTTGGGTAACTATGTGACACTAACTGAAGTGAATGTATTCCTGTGATATTTAATAGCAGTGAGCTAAGTTTCTAAGTTTCCAAGGATTGCCCATCTTAAGAACACATTCCTGGAGCCTGTAATACAAATCCCACAATTATGTAGCACGTTTGCATGGCAGTAGGTATAGAAAACAAGTAGAGTCAAGAGAACGGGTACAGGATACATCACATGCTACTCAATATACTTGTTGATATGCAAAACTTATGTTTAATGGCCCTGTCATATAACATCTTGCCTTATGAGATGTTAGTATCACTGTATCAAAAAGGAACGACCTAAGGTCATTGGCTATTTTCTCTAGAATCTAGAGAATCCTAAAAATCCTTACCATTGCTTCACATTCATTATGTGATCAGTTACTGCTCTCTTATGGCTATTCCTGTTTTTCAAATGGCTGAGAAAACACTAGATTATATCAGCGCCACACACACTACTCAGTTCGTGGATACTCACTGCTGAATTCCAGCAAGAATTTCATTCACTGTGCTCATTAATTTCTGCAGATCCATAAAAGCTTCTTGAAATGAAGACATATTCGAAGTTGGGGGTATTGCACTAAGGTCCACTTTTTGGAAAATTTCAAAACTAAAAAAAGAGTAACGTTAAAAAAATAATTACAAATTAACATGGACTCATTTCCCCCCATTGCAATCCAATCCCACCAAATTTGCCAAATACTACCATATACAGACATGAGATTTGTTCCTAACTGATGATCCTAACCCAACACTATTGTCTCTGTCTAAACCACAGCAGTCAAGATACTTTCCTCCAAAGTATTAAGTGACAAGCCCTAAAAGATACCATACCTTTTAAGATTCCAGTCAAAACAAAGTGTCTAGGGAAAGAGAAATATTTTAATGGTGGCATGTTGCCAGGGCATGTTTCTGCTATAGTAGAGATAAGTGGGGGAAAGCCCCCAATGGCTGATTAAAAAGGGGGAAAAATCATTCTTGGAATGACCAGTTCATTATGTGTGAATTCACTTGCAAAATGATAGAAAGCAAACCATTCTTTCCAATAATTAAATAGCAATTTTGTGGCAGAGAGCCTTGTAGGCAGCGAGTTGGACCAGAAACACAGAATGACAGAAATACAAACACAGTGAGGTGGACAGTAACTGAAAGTAAATACTGAACTCTCCAATATGTAAAGGACCTTTTCTTCCCGGTCCCCCCGTGTAGTTAGGGACAGTTTTTTTTTTTAAAGAAACAATTTAGAGTTTCAGTAGTCCATACCCAAAATTCAAAGAAAAACTCAAAATATCTAACCAAGGAAGTAAATGAATCTGACAGCTTTTAGATTCAACTATGACATATAAGCAACTTCTTGGTGATAAGTCACCAGCCCCTTTGTAAGAAGGCTTTCCAGCATGACTAATCAGCTCCCTTCTCTGTCTGTGTAATGAGCTGAATCCTAGTAAATTCAGAAGAATGAGGTAGTTGGTATACAGGGCCCTAATAAGGGTAATCTAGCAACTGCTTTTTCTGTAAGCTTATTTTTATCATTTTCTGTCATATCCTTCAACCATCTTCTCCAATATCCCCCCCCCCCCACAACTTGCCCTTTTTTCAGAATAGCCTTTATGCTTAGTAGGCCCTGAGTCTGCAGACACTCATACTCTGGTGCAGAGACTTGCTATCAAGGAAGCAGCTACTTTCAAGTTGGTTTCTAAAACTAGTTAATATTACATGAACCAATATGTAGCCTATTGATGGTAGCAACACTATATGCAGAAATATTATTGATACAGTGCCATTCCTGTACCTGGCACTTTACTAAATTACACAAGAAAATATTAAGCAGGTCCCACCCACAAAAAAATTACAGTTCATGCTCAGCAGTGGAGCATGTTTGCAAAAGACATGACACACATGAACTTTTAAAATCCTTGGGGTTGGATATTGTTTTAGTAAACATTGTTTTAGAAAATAGTACCTGAACACATTGATTCTGTTCCATACACTTTCAAGGACAGACCAGATTTCCATATGCCTATTTTCTTGTGCTGAAGGCTCTCTTAATGGAGACTTATCTTCTGTCTGAGTGTGTTCTGACAAAATCACATCTTCCATTTTTTCACATGTATCATTTCCCAAATTAGATTTCAGGATATCTTTAGAATTTTCTCCTTTACATGACTCCATCTTAGGAAAACAAAATAAAGAAGCAGTAAGAGTACTGCCCATAGTAAATGTGCAGCTGTCATTTACAAATATTTGAGGAATGCCACATAATAATCATGTTAATAACAAAACTCAAGGTAAGTGTTGTTTTTTCTCTGCCTTCACAAAAAAAGATGTAATTCAGTTTCTTCACTGGTTATTTGAAGTATTTATAATTTTATAAATTATACATCGATAGTTCACAATGCAATCTACAATCTAAAAATAATAAAATTTAACAGAGAAAAAATAGTAATAGCAAATATTTTTAAATCCTAAAGATAAAATAATTTTATAAACTCACAATAGTGATTTTCTAAGACTGAATATTTTTCTAGCCAGCATTTCCACCTGCTTTATTTCCAGGGACATAAATAGAGCCCCCCTGGAGATATTTGAAAATATCTCCTGAAAATATTTCCAAATAAGGAACTCTTTACCATACATATCTTGATAGTGATTTGGAGGAAAGGTAATTTAGGTGCGTACTGCTTTCTGGCTGAAGCAACTATGTTTGAGAGGGAGCCACTTGTCTTATTGCAGTAGTAGATCCAAACCTATAAAAATATTTTCCTCTCTCTCCTCTTAGACAATACAAGATATCCCTTTCTTCCTCTGCTCAACTCTTAAATTTAGAGGGAGTCTCTTCTCTTGGCCCCATTCAGAATATACTTGTAGATACAAGATACTTTCCATCAGAACAACTCTAAATTTGGCTGTTTTTCTCCTTTTTCTTACTTTTTCACAACCAGGACAAAGAAAAAGACAAGAAGAGAAAGAAGGCACTAGAGAATGACTGCAAGAGAATCCAGTAGGCTATCTAGCTGAAGAAAGGAAAAAGAAAAGATTGATGGGGGAGGGAGGTTATGCTGCAATAAGTACCGTATTTTTCAATGTATAAGACACACTTCCCCCGCCCCCCAAAAATGGCTGGAAATGTCTGTGCATCCTATACAGCAAATGTTGCCAAAGCCCTGCCTACCCACCAGCCCCCACCCTTCGGCTTCTGCCTCCCAGCAATTTGTCTCCTTGCAGCAAACAGCAAACAGCCTGGCCAGCTTCAGCACAGCCTGATTAGCATAAGCAGCTGATTGTCAGTTGGATCTGCCTCCTGATGATCAGCTGTTTCAGGCTGCAGGGATCACCATCACCTATTGCCACCTCTGCGTGCTACATTTTCAGCCTCTGCATCCTGTTTTCTGCCTCCGTGCACCCCATTTTCAGCCTCCGCACACCCCATTTTCGGTCCATTCCAATCCCCACCATCTGGAACGGGCTGAAAGTGGGGCGTGTGGAGGCTGAAAATGGGACATGCGGATGTGGAAGCAAAAAATGGGGCTTGCGGATGCAGCAATAGACGATGGCAATCCCTGCAGCCTGAAACAGCTGATTGTCGGCTGCTTGTGCTAAATCAGGCTGTGCTGAAGTTGACCAGGCTGTTTGCTGCAAGAAGGCAAATTGCTGAGAGGCAGAAGATGATTTTTTTCCCCTTGTTTTCCTCCCCAAAAGCTAGGTGAGTCTTATTCTTTGGAACATCTTATATTCTGAAAAATACGGTAATACCTGACTTAGGAATGGAAGCAGGGGGAAAGAGGTATAGAAGCATCTGTGTCTCTTCCCTCCCTCCTTCGTGCCTTATTCAACTCTGTCTTCTGTTGGGAACCCACGAGGCATGAAGCAACAGGAGTCAGAACTTCTATTGATTTCTATGCCTGGAGTTTTCAAGATGGCCTCCTCTCATATCTTTACAGTTTGTACATCACTGCTGCTAGAGAAGCCAATCCTTTTTATTCAGCAGTGAAGTTTGGTTCTTGTTTTATCCACTGCAAATGCAATATTAATTTCCATTTAAAAGGAAACAATTCAGACACAACTAACCTTTTTTAATGATAATAAATGTGAATGCCATCAATCTTGTAACCAGATATATGCACTTAAAAAGGAACTATGCTTGTCAAAACTTAGCCTGGCTTACCTCTTCAACAGTCTTGAGTAATTTATTCATTTGAGCTAAAGCCCGTGAAAGAAAACCATCATAGGTGGATCTGGAACTGAACATTTCCAATAACATTTTGGACTCCCAGAGGATATTCCTCAGTGTTGAATATCCTATTATTTTATCTGAGACAGGAAGTAGAAAAAAAATGCTGAGATCCGAAATCCTGGATGATTTATTATTAAATCCCTATGAAAAACATATACTAAAATGATACGGTTATTCAGTATATTCATATTGGCCACTCTTACCACCTGCAGGGGACAAAATGATGAAAACTGAAGGAATCAAGATGGAAATGATAGTCTCAATAAAGATAAGTAGAAATTTTCTGGATCAGGAGTCATTCAAGCCCTGGTCATCTCACACTTGGACTACTGCAATGTGCTGTACAGTGGGCTACTCTTGAAGAGCATTTGTAAGCATCAACTAGTGCAGAGTGCGGTAGTGCGGGGAGCCTCCCCCCCCCTCTAGAATGGCTCATGTTACTGCACTGGCTGCCAGTCTCCTTCTGGGTCCAATTCAAGCCTTGCATGCCATGGATCCAGGTTACTTGAAGAATTGTCTCACCTGTATGGGACAGGCCTGTCCCACCCATACAAGTACAGAAGGCATGTCTGTCAATGAATTCCTGCTGACAGTGTCTAGGAGAAGAGCCTTTTCTGCTGTCAACATAGCCTTTTGGTATCTCTTGAGGTGAGGTTGGTTCTCACCCTTCCGATCTTCCGCAAGAGCCTGAAGACCTGGCTCTGCCAGTTGGCCAGGGCCTCAAGGGGGACTACCATGCTGGAGGTGGTTGATGGACTAACAGTAAATCCCACCTCCCTGTGCATTTGCTCCTTCCTTGTCATGTCTTCATTATAATTTTGTATTCCTTTAATCAGTTTTGTATTCTTGTTGTTATGGTTTTGCCATTTTTGATGTTATAGGTCAGTGGTTCTCAATCTTTGTGGCTTGGTGGCCCAGATGGGGGGAGGAGAGAGAAATTTGGCCACGCAAGTGGCTAGCTGGTACATGCACATGCAGCTCAACTTACACTTGTGCAAGTTGAGCTGTGCATGCATGTGCGTGTGCGTCAGCTCACTGCTCCTGCAAGGAGAGCTGCGTGCCCATGCTTGCCTGTCCCCTGCCCGGTTCCAAATACTCCACAGCCCAGTAGTGAGCCAAGGCCCAGGGACTGGGGACCCAGAATCGTCTTGTGAAAAGATGGACTGCAATTAAATTTAATAAATAAAAATAGGTGGCACCCTTCAGGCTAACAATATGAAGCACACTGAAATCAAGAAAAAAAAAGTTAGTATGAATTATCAGACAAATGAAGAAAAGTTCAAACACTCTGATGGAAATACCACCAATTAACACCTGGACAGTTCCAGTCATTAGATATACAACTGGAATAATAAATTGGACTCAAGCTGAAGGAGAAGCCCTAGATAGGAAGACCAGAAAAATAATGATGATGCCCTTCTTTCAGGCAGCAAAGTTGACAGACCCTTCTTACCAAGAAACATAGATGGGTGTGGAATTATTTATTTATTTATTTATGGGTGTGGAATGTTGCAAGCACACCAGATAGTTGAAGAAGAAAAAAGAGCATTGGAAAAAATATATGAAGGGCAGCGGAGAATATTTATTGAAGCTATTATACCATGAAGGTTTGCTGAGTAGAGAAGAATCCAAACTGGCCTAAAAAAGACCAAATGAAGAATAGAAAAGATATACGAAGGCAAAGTATTACATGGCCAATATATTAAATGTCGAGACCACAAAATAAACAAAGTAATAGAAAGTAAAGAAGCTAAAGTACTCTGGAACATTAGTTTTCAAATAGAGAAGCATAATGTCACATAACACCTGAGACTGAATAACTGTCAATAATACAGACAAAACAGTCTGGATTGTGGTCATTGCAACACCTGGAGAGAAAAAAAGAGAAGACAAATACCTGGGGGAAAATGATAAAACACAAAGATCTGAAAATACAAGTAGAGCAACCATGGCAAAAGGAAGCAAAGGCAGCACCATTAGTGATAGGCACCTTAGATGCAATCCCAAAACATATGGAACACTACTTGAATACCATCATCAATGAAGTATAAAAGGCAACTTTACTTGGAACAACTTATATCCTTTGGCAGTATCTTTGATATTGTTAAATTATAACATCCACCAAGTTCTTGGGAGGGATTCAATAGGCACACAAAAATACAAAATCCAGACTAGACAGCTGGCAGACTGTGCAACCAACCATAATTAATAATAATAAAAATAAAACAAGCTTTATATTTTTAGTACTGATGACTGTTCCCTTTTGATCTAAGTAATTTTGAAAATTAATATAAACACTCCTACCTTTACAAAGATGCGCATAGAGATATTCAATACTTGAAATAAGGCTTCTTGATATAAATTGTCCAAAAACTGCCATCCAGTGTTTTTTGTAACACTCCAACACATTTGCTAATGTCCAAGGTGGTTTGTGATATACTACCTAAGAAAGAAAAATAATTTACTAGTCAGATTTCAGTATCTTTTCTAGAAACATGCCACTTACATCAGCTAGGATACTAGTAATTATATCAAATCCTCCCTATTCTGACAAACAGATAGACATATAAAATAAATGATAGAATCTGATTTTGGAATAGGGTTAATAATACCACCCAATACAGTCTCTTCTGATACTTTATTTTCTTCTTTAAAGACAAATGATGTCAGAGGGACTTAATTTCATCCTGAAAGTATTTTACAAAAGCTTGTAACCCCTCATTATATCACTATTGGGAAGCTATGAAGGGTCAACAATATGTCAAGGATTTACAAAACATGTATTATTATCAAAGACAAGATACAAGTATGTTAAGATAAGATTATTTGTATGCTATCACACCATGTAATAATACAGGGGTCTTCAAACGTGACAGCTTTAAGACTTGTGGACTTCAACTCCCAGAATTCTTCCTTCAGTCATGTTAGCTCAGGAATTCTGGGAGTTGAAGTCCACAAGTCTTAAACTTGCCTAGTTTGAAGATCCTTGATGTAATACAAAAGGGAAAAATATGGAAGGATAAAATTCATCTTCCTGAGATTTTCAGATTTCATTTAAGCTATGAAGGTGTCATTTACAAAAAATACTGACCTAAATCAGCTGTCACAGATGACTAAAAGAAGCTGGCAGAATT